GCTGAATTTGTTGTTGTATTCTGTCTCTCAGTGTTACACCGAACATTCCATTGTTAGACCGATCATTTCTGTGTGAGGGGCGAACATTCCATTGTTAGACCGATCATTTCTGTGTGAGGGGCGAACATTCAACATCAGCAGTGGATCAAATACTTATTTCCTTCATTGTGTGTGTATATATATATATATAGAGAGAGAGAGAGAGAGAGCGCGCGCACGCTCTCTATAGCTCTCTCCCTCTCTATAGCTCACTCTCTCTATCTCTATCTATATCTTTCTATAGCTCTCTCTCTCTATCTAGCGCTCTCTCGCTCTATAGCTCTCTCTCGCTCTATCGCGCTCTCTGTCGGGCTCTTTATCGCTGTCTCTTTCTAGCGCTCTCTCTAGTGCTCTCTCTAGTGCTCTCTCTCTCTCTAGTGCTCTCTTTCGAACGCGCTCTCTCGTTCTATAGCTCTCTCTCGTTCTATAGCTCTCTCTCGTTCTATAGCTCTCTCTCGTTCTATAGCTCTCTCTCGCTCTATAGATCTCTCTCGCTCTCTCTCGCTCTATCGCGCTCTCTCTCGCTCTATCGCGCTCTCTCTCGCTCTATCGCGCTCTCTCTCGCTCTATCGCGCTCTCTCTCGCTCTATCGCGCTCTCTCTCGCTCTATCGCGCTCTCTCTCGCTCTATCGCGCTCTCTCTCGCTCTATCGCGCTCTCTCTCGCTCTATCGCGCTCTCTCTCGCTCTATCGCGCTCTCTCTCGCTCTATCGCGCTCTCTCTCGCTCTATCGCGCTCTCTCTCGCTCTATCGCGCTCTCTCTCTCGCTCTCTATCATGCTCTCTATTGCTCTCTCTTTCTAGCGCGCTCTCTCTCTCGCTCTATAGCTCTCTCTTTCTAGCGCGCTCTCTCTCTCGCTCTATAGCTCTCTCTTTCTAGCGCGCTCTCTCTCTCGCTCTATAGCTCTCTCTTTCTAGCGCGCTCTCTCTCTCGCTCTATAGCTCTCTCTTTCTAGCGCGCTCTCTCTCTCGCTCTATAGCTCTCTCTTTCTAGCGCGCTCTCTCTCTCGCTCTATAGCGCTCTCTCTCGCGCTCTCGCTCTCTATCGCTCTCTATCGCGCTCTCGCGCTCTCTCTCCTCGCGCTCTCTATATAGCTCTCGCTCTATAGCTCTCTCTCTATATAGCTCTCGCTCTATAGCTCTCTCTCTATATAGCTCTCGCTCTATAGCTCTCTCTCTATATAGCTCTCGCTCTATAGCTCTCTCTCTATATAGCTCTCGCTCTATAGCTCTCTCTCTATATAGCTCTCGCTCTATAGCTCTCTCTCTATATAGCTCTCTCTCTATCTATATATATCAATATTCACACACACACTTAAAGCTGCGTAAATTGATGGCGCTATATAAGTACCTGTAATAAAATAAATAAATACACCCAAGGGCCCCAGGTTGGGCTCCAGGGTTTTAAGGCTTGTAAGTGGAGATTTAACAGGTTCCTTATAATAAGTTGAACTTTTTTGAGCCTTCTGTTTTTTGGTTACTTGAACATACTGGCTTCTGAACAGCACAATTCTGCTCTTATCGGGGATACAGTCAGCATAAAAAATGTATGAATGTTACAATTTTCTCTCCTTTTTTTAACTAGCCAGAAAATAATTGATCTTGGAACAGGGGCGGACTGACAACTCATGGGGCCCCCAAACTCAAAAATGCCTATGAAAAAGGTACCAGGGGCATCTCATGGGGCCCCCTACTGACCCCGGGCCCTCGGGCAGTGCCCGAGTTTCCAAATGGTCAGTCCGCCCCTGGTCTTGGAATAATAAGGGCAGTCTGTCTGTTTATCAAATTTCATTTCATATTACATGATCATCGAAGTTGTGCAAGTGGTGATTTAACCTAAATTTTTTTGAGCCTTCTGTGTTTTTGTCCATGGAACACCGTGTTCCGGCTGCTTATATGTGTTGGCGCCTGAATAGGGAATCATTATGTTAATTTTTTCACTTATTTTTAAACGTTGTCTTTCTTTCCGATCATTAATGAACAAATAGGTCATTCATGATCGGAAAGAAAGGCAACTTTTAAAAATTAGTAAAAAAAAAAAAAAGAAATTAACATAATGATTCCCTCTCCTTTTTGTGCTCGTCGGAAAATTTGATTGTGGAATAACAGGACCAGCTTTCCTAACATTTCATTTCTGTTACATAATCGGACGGCGCGGATTATCCGTTCACACATGTTGCTGAAGTGCTGTACTAGCTGTAGGGTTTGTTGAAAGGTTCGACCTTCTGTCGTGCGGATGAAAGACCCGTAGTGTTCATGCTTTCTACACAGATATAAAACCGAACACGCGCCCGTGCGGCTGAGCGCGAGCGGCGAGCATCACTTAGCCGGAAAAGAAGACAACAAGCGGAGATTAATAATAGATTTTCTAGAATACTTTTAGTGTTGTCGTCGCTCTGTTCTTGTCAAAGCAAACTGCCTCTTGTCATATTTTTCTGTAAACAAGGCAACATATATAGATAAAAACACTCCCTCCCCCCCCCCCCAAAAAAATATAAATAAAAAATTGTTTATATTGTTTAAATTTTTTTTATTATGTTTACATTTTATTATAAAAAATGTTTATATTTTTATCAAGCATCTCGTGGACAAAATGTCTGAATTGCCTCCAATCCAAATTCAGAGTACGATTTTTGCAAGGCAACATTGAAAGTTCGTAAAGAAGACATTCAAGGATAAAACCTCACTTATAATCCTCCTATTACCCATAATCCCTTTCCTACACTTAACAAATCACTTTACAGTCAGGTTGTTTTCATGTGCGAGATTCCTGCTACCAGTTCAAATATGTCCCAGTTTTTTGTTTTGTTTTTTTGTTTTTGTGGGTTTTTTTTTGTTTTTTGTGTTTTTTTTTGTTTTTCTGTTTTTTTTTTTTTTTTCTGTTTGAAAAATATACTATACATGAGTAAAAAATACAATGTAATTTTTCCCCCCCCTGATTTCTCAGTCATTAAAGTGGTTGTAAACCTCAATTTACAAAGCTGAACAAAGCCTATCCCTCTATAGTTTATACTTCTCTCTCAATCCAGAGCACTAAGTGTCATTTCTGTCTGCTGCCTCCTTTGTCTGCTATCTGCCTTCTGAATCATGAAAGAACATGTTTTCCTGATAGCAAGAGCTATAAAGGTGACAGGAGGGAGCTCTAGCACACAGCCTGCGATTGACTGCTTCAGCTCTGTTCTTGAGTGCTGTGGCAAGGAGGGTGTGCCCCTTCCTTCCATTCAGCTCTCAATTGGTTCTGCAGAGTGTAACGTCAGCTCCCTGCTTTCTGAAGCCTTAGACAAACTTTATAAATTCTGCACTTTGAACGGCTCTGGAGGAGACAACTGCAGATACACAGGTACAACTGTTGTAGGACATTTCATCTCCGTGTATCACCTGAGGCCAGCCGCTTCACTGGGTACTTTATTATTTTCCCCATTAGGCACTCTTACCAGAGCCATGTTGTCCTTGGCACGTTCACGGCTTCTCGCTGGGATGGGGGAGCTGGTCAGCAGCAAAGCCAGGCTGCCCTGTCGTGGGTCTGTCTACACGGCCACACAATGGGTTGTCCTTTTGCCTTGAAGCCAATACAGGACTTAAAGGTGAACTCCAGGCAAAGAGCTGAATACACAGACAAAATGCATGTAAGGCAGCTGTTTTGCCCACCAAAGGATTTGCACCCAGTCCTGAGATTTACGCAGCTCTGCCACACTATACGGCTCTGTCTGGAAGGGGTGGAGACCTGATCTTTTATTTGCTGAAGTTTAGGACCCCTTACAGGGGTCTTGTCCCTCCCCCAGCCCATGACTTGACAAGGAAAAGGTCTTGTCTCTCCCCCAGCCTGTAACTGGACAATGAAAGGAGAAGTAGTTCAGTGATGAGCTCATCTCTGTCACTCTGCTTTTCCCCCACTCAGAGGATCTATGCATAAAGGAGCAGTACAGCCAAACCTCATTTGGCTGTACTTCTGTGGATCACAAGAGTGCAGTTCATTCTGCACCCCTGTGACCCGTTTTCAGTTGACAGCGGTCTAAAATCTGTTGTTGGCGGACGTCACTAAGCTAGTCCAGGCTGGGGAAAGATCCCAACTTTAAAGTCGGGATCCACCTAGATCTCTGGACCGGCACCTGGCTCAGCCACTCGGTAATCCACTAGGAGCCTGAGCCGGCCTCTCCCTCCACAGCCCAGAGACCCCCGGGTAAGCGGGGGGGCAGAGCAGAGAGCCATGACTGACAGTCACCAGCTCACCTCACTGAGAACAGAGCGATCAGCTGTGTTTGATCGCTCAGTTCTCAGTCTTAGAGCCAGCGTGGGACAGTTGCAGCATCAGAATGATGCTGCATCCACTTAGGCAAGTATGATTTCTTAAAAAAAAAAAAAACCCTCAACTTTTAACCTCCTTAGCGGTATTCCCGAGTGTAGCTCGGGGTAAAATGTCAGTACCAAAATACAATATGACAGCCTGAAGGGGTGGTGTACAGAACGCCCAACCCCCTGCCCCCTCCATAAATTACATTTCCTGCATGTGTGATTGGCTCACTGATTTTCACAGAAGTCTGCAATAAGATTCAAGTCAGATTTGGGGCACCACCTGCAAGAAAAATGCCATTTTTTTTTTTTTTGCAAAATACTCCCAAAGGGAAATCACGTGTGAAAGGATGCAGACCCTGCCACTTTCCTCATTCGAGCCCTGCAGGTGCAGATTGATAATTATAAAATCACTCCTATTCACATTCACTTTCCACATGGATACAGACAAACTGATATTTCTTCTGAACAACAAAAAGTTTATTCAAATCCTTGCAATGTACATAAATCGCCCAGAGGGGAGAGTTGTTTTTTCTTTTTTCTCAGTGGAGTTCCTGTTTAAAAATGATCATTTATGTTTTAGTGTTGATTCCAGTGACAAATGTAACCATCCCGTCATTTTAGTAGAATTTTGTTAATTTTGCCATTAAAGCCGTGTTTCCATTTTTCTCAGGGGAGGGAAAGACCGCGATCACGAGATTCGGTACAACCCTTACCGTATGACGCCGTACTCTGTGAAAGTCCGCACGTCTCTTGAGGTTGAGCCGGAGCATTGCTGCCTTGCTTTGGTGGAAAAGATTCACTCGGGATATGAGGGTAAGTTTTTTGTAGATTTCTACAGATGTGATGCTCAGAGTCGAGGAGACAATGGAACGGATTACACCAGCTGTCTATTTTCTGCAGTTGATGATTGAAATTCTGTGATCACCAAATACAGTGTTGGCAGGTCTTATCATTCCGTCCCCTTTTTAGTGCTTTTTTTGACTTTTAAATTCGTACCCTTTTACATTGTCCTGTTTCCATTACAGCTCCCAGAATTCCCCTGGATAAACGGATCTTCACCACCACACATACCCCTGGCTGCGTTTTTCTAGAGGTAGACGATCGGTAAGTTGTGTGGTTTTTGTTTTTTTTTTTCCTAAGAATTGGTTATAAAGGGGCAGCACAGTGGCTAAATGGTTAGCACTTCCGCCTGGGTGTTGGTTCGAATCCCAACCACGGCACCACCTGCCTGGAGTTTGCATGTTCTCCCCTGTACTTGCATGGGTTTCCTCCGGGTACTCCAGTTTCCTCTCAAAGCTCCGAAGGGATATGCTGGTAGGTTAATTGGATTCTGTCTAAATTGTCCCTAGCGTGGCTTAAAATTTCAAGTACTGAGCTACTAGCCAGGCCTTAGAGTTACTCGCGCCACCAACAAACACACACAAACAGGGACACCTGTACACACACACAGACATGTACATAACACACACAGACATTACATACACACACAGACATGTACATACAACAAACACACAACACACATGTTACATACACACACCAACAGAACAATGTACATACACACAAACACACACACAGACATGTACATACACACACACACAGACATGTACATACAAAAAAACACAGACAAACATACACACAAAACAGACCATGTAACGATAAGCAAAACAAAACACAAAAATAACAAACAACCAACAAACAAACAAAAACCACAAAACAGAACAAACAAAAACAAAAAATCCCCCAACAAACACAAAAAAACCCCCCAATAACAAACACAAACAAAAAAACAAAAAAGACAAGAAAACAAACCCATAAAACCCACAACAAACAAACAAAAAAAACACACACATGTTAAACACACCCACACCCAACAAAAGACCAAAACCAGCGTACAACACACACAACCACAATTGAAATTTACGCAAAAACACACAACCACAGGAACAGAATAAACAAAGAAAGAAAAAGATACATAAACAAAGGAACCTCTCCTCTCCTCTCTCCTTCTCCTCCCATCACTCTCATCCTCACCTCGCTCCCTCTCTCTCTCCCTCTCTCCTCCCTCTCTCTCCTCATCTTCGTCCCTCCCTCTCTCTCTCTCACTCACTCTCTCTCTCTCCTCTCTCCTCTCCCTCTCGTCACTCCTCTCTCTTCCCCCTCTCCTCTCCTCTTCCCCCTCTCCTTCTCTCTCCCTCCTCTCCTCTCTCTTCCCCCCTCTTCCCCTTCCCTCACACCCCCCCTCTCTTCCCCTTGCTCACCCCCCCTCTCTCCTCTTTCTCCTCTCTCTCTCTCGTCCTCTCTTCCCCCTCTTCCTCTCTCACCCAACGAACCCCTCATCCTACCTCACCCCCCCCTCTCTCTTCTTCTCCCAAACTCTCTCTCTCTCCCTCTCTTCCCCCTCTTCACTCTCTCACCACCCCGTCTTCCCCTTCTCATCCTCTCTCTCTCTCACCCCTACATGGGGCTTGTGCACACAAACACGTCAAATGCTGGATAAACCCCCTATTTTACATGCATTTACAGTAGCACGACTTGTTATTGGGCAGTCACAGTGACTAAATGGCGCGGTGTCTAGCATTTCCTGCGGAACGCTGACAGGGACACCTGTACTCGGGTCGTTGGTTCGATGGGATCCCAACCAGGGCACCACCTGCCATGGAGTATTGCATGTTTCCAACCTTTGAACACCTGCCTGCGTGGGATAACCCCTATTTTACTCTGGGGCGAAACTCTAAATGTTTTACCTCCTATACTCGCAGAGACATACATGTTCGCTTCTCTACGAACTGTAGCGTTTTCCATCTGATTGGCTCCTATACTCAAGTCTAAATTGGCTCTGTCCCTCTAGTATGTGTATGTATGATGGGGGACCCGAGAAGAGAAGGATTTGGGCCCGCATTCGTGTAAAAACCACACACAGAGCAAAGTTAAGTATAACGTGTTTCTGTTGTTTTTGAGAAAAAAACAAACAAGCACAGACTTTAGTATCACTTGAAGACACCAGTGCAGCAGTTATGGGCCGTAACCTGTGTAGCCATCAAATTGGGGTTTCAGGTTACGGCTGTCTTATTGGCTATCAGGGGGGATTGGCCTTTGCCTATCCTCTTTGCCCTGCCATAAGATCTGTATGGTTAATATATTATGACTCGTATTCCCTTGAAATGATGGTTTAGTGACATCGACAACTTATAAGTTCTAGAAATGGTTTTGGGTCTGTACAGTAGACTTTTTTTTTTTTTTTTCTCCTTTATTTTATATTCATCTTTCCTTTTCAGAGCTGTACCGCTGTTGGGTTTGCTTGCCAGCACAAGACCTGGTTGGGACGTCCGTGTTAATGTATATCCATCCCGAGGGGGTCGCCCTCTAATGCTTGCCATGCACAGAAAAAGTAAGATATGGACAGTTGTGTGTTTGTGATTAAAACTGCTTGCAGAGTAGTGTAACACTTTTTTTTTCGGCTTGACCAAGTCTCCGGTGTTCCAGCCCAGAATACCGTCTTCAGACTTATTTGGGACCTTTTTTTTTTTTTTTTTTTGGGTTCTTGGACATTACTGTAAATGTTTATGTAGCATGAAGCAAAAGATTGCCCAAGAAGTGTAGAAACTGACGTTGGTAAGTTTGGAATCTAATCCAGGGGCAGGCTACCTTTGGCACTCCCATGTGTTGTGGAACTACATGACCCATGAGGCATTGCCGCAAGCATGACTTCCATGATGCATTTCACCGCAGCAGGAGGGCTGAGGTTGCCTAGCCCTGGTCCTACACAGCTTTATTTTCTTTTCTTTTACTTGGTCCTGTAAATTGTATCTTTTTTTTCTGTGTGGGTAAGTGTATGTAAAGTAAGGAATGCTATTGGCAGTTTTTACTACTACAAAATAATAATTTTTTTTGTTTTTTTTTTTTTTTTTTTTAGTTCTGAAATATGCTGGACAGCCACCATTCGAGCATTCTCCGATCAGATTCTGCACCCAGAATGGTGACTACATCACTTTAGACACCAGCTGGTCCTGCTTTGTCAACCCCTGGAGCAGAAAAGTGGCGTTTATTATTGGTCGCCACAAAGTTAGAACGTAAGTTAGCAGTCATCCTGTTTTAGTAGAATACCGTTACTTAACCTCTTGGCGCCGGCCGAACGCAAACGCCCGGCGTCTGGGCCTAGACGCCGAGCAGCTGCACATTTGCATTTTATTAAAAAAAGACATGTGCTGAGATCGCGCGCCCTGCACGCTCCCAGAGCACATGTCCCATACTCACAGAAAGGTCCCAATCTCCTCTTTCGACCATGTGACCTTTCCCGATCATGTGACCGCCGTGACATCGTGCCTCCACATGATTCTATGCCCCGCCCCCGCCTTGCCTCCGGCTTCTGAAACCCTTAAAGGGTCGGAAGGCGCCGGCGCCAAGGGGTTAAAAGAGCTCTTTTGACCACACTTCTATGAGTTCCAGGAGTGCGCTTAGTTTTGCACTCCTGTGACCCAATTTCAGCTGACAGCGGGCTAAAATCCGCTGTCAGCTGACGTCACAAAGCCGGGGCAGGCTCTGCACGGATCCTGACAATAATGTGGGGATCTGCCCAGATGCCTGACCAACAGCTGGCTCAGTCTCTCGGCGCACCACTGAGAGCCCTAGCCAGCCACTCATGTCCCTCTGTAGGCCGGCGCTCCAATGAGCACTGAAGGGGCGAAGCAGAAAGCTGGTGACAGACATTCACCGCTCTGTGCTCAGAGCAGACCTGAGAACTGAGCAATTAGCAGACTGTGGTGGCTCATCTCTTGGTGTCAGGATGGAGAGGGGCAGCTGCAGCTCAGATCGGTGCTGCAGCCAACTAGGGGGAATGTAAATGTGTTTTTTGTTTTTTTTGTTTTTTTAATATTCCGCACTTCACTTTTAAAATGAGTTATACTTTTTTTTTTATATTGTTTTCCATAAAAGCCTACCATATGCTAATTCAAAGGTTGCTGCACTGAAATCCCAAGCAGTGTTTTCAGCCCTGTCTGAGTTCTTCTCTGCTGATCTACATAGGAGAGCATATTTTGCCTTTTTATTGGAGGAAACCAGAACAAAAATGTCCTGTTTTCTTTCCTATGACGATCCTACGGCAAGACCATTCATTAAACAATTTTTCTTTCCTTCAGCCACGGGTTTTCAGGAAAGAAAATTGCTTGATTCCTCCGTCAAAACATCATCGGTGTTGGCGGGAGAATTCCTCTAGCTAAGCTTTTGCTTTCGGACAGCGGGATGTTTCCACGCCATCAGAATAAAATTAATTGAATGAAAAAAAAACCGACAACAGGCTGGTTGTACTGAAGTTGATCAAGCGATCAACTTCAGTACATCCAACCTTCCCATAGATGGATCAAAATTTGACCGGTTCCAGCTAAACTGGAAAAATTTCATTCCGTCTATGGCTGGCCTAATGCGATTGTTACCGAAAGAATGTTATTCGGGATGACGTTCAAATTTGGTGACGTCAGGTAAAAGTACCACATTGTGTTTGGCCATAATTCTATATTTTTGGTATAATCGTGCAAAGATCTCCCTGTGGATGGTGTGGAGATAGAGGCTCTTTACTACAGGAGGCCAGATTAGTATCACAAAGCATCAGGTGAGTTGGATTTTCTTCATCTGATGCATTATTCTTCTCTGCTAATATAGAAGAGCTGAAAATTAATAACTGTGTCTACCCCGTAAGTCGTTATGGAAAAGAGCCCCAGCATGAAGGAAATGTATCATCCATCCCCCAGAACAGGGGCGGACTGACAAGTCATGGGGCCCCCGGGCAATAGGGGATCATGGGGCCCCTGTGTCCTTGCCCAAACTCAAAGCCTATGAAAAAGGTACCAGGGGCATCTCATGGGGCCCCCTACTGACCCTGGGCCATCGGGCAGTGCCCGAGTTTACAAATGGTCAGTCCGCCCCTGCCCCCAGAATTAAATCTATCCCTCTCTGATCAGCTTTAGACAAAAGAATATTAATGTTTAGCCTGGGTTCACACTACAGCGGTGCGGTAATTCCCATGTGATTCGCACGTGAACCGCACCGCATTCCTGTACAAATCACATGCGATTCGTATGCAGTGCGATTAGAGCTGTACATTTTGTATGGCTCTATTCGCACCGCACCAAAAACATGCAGGACCCTTTTTTGGTCCGCACTAGAATCGCATCGCATGGGTATTCACACCTCTGCGATCCGATTCTGCACATCGCACCGATGTCGGGGTGTTGTTAACTCAACATACACACCCGCATCGGTTCGTATGAACGGGGGGCGATTGTGATGCGGTGCGGAATTCGCACTGAAAATGCGGCGAATTCCGTACCACGTCAGTGTGAACCAGGGCTGACAGTGTAGAAATTGCCGACGAATAGTTTGAGCAGCACAAGAGATTACTTGATAGAAAACTCAGCTAGGATGATAATTTGGTCATTTTTAGTTCATTTCTTATTGTTCTCTCTTCTTCAGTACAGAGATGAGGGCCGGAGGGTTACAGCAAAGAGCATTTGCAGGAGGAAGCCATTATCTTTAGTTTTAGACTACAAACCTGAGCCTCTAATAGGCAGATCTCTCATATCTTTACATTTTAGGGGACCTCTGAATGAAGATGTGTTTGCTGCCAGAAGTACAGAAATCATCAATGTTGACAAAGACATAAAGGAGTTGCAAGGACAGATCTACAAAGTCCTTTTACAGGTAAGGCTCATTATACCTCAGTAGAGTGTCTGTGTCCTGTGTGAGCGGAGCTTCCAATGTGAGATATTGAGGGGGAGATTTACTAAAACTGAAGCACTCAGAATCTGGTGCAGCTGTGCCTGGTAGCCAATCAGCTTGTTCAATTAAGCTTTGACAATAAAACTTGGAAGCCGATTGGTTTCTATGCAGAGCTGCACCATATTTTGCACCATGAATGGACTCCTGTGCCCCGGGACACGCAGGGAAGAAGTCCCTGCACATCTTTGGAAAATGCAGCCCACATTGGAAACTCTGTTCCCAGTACAGTTGCGATTACCAGTGCGGGCGGCGTGCCATAAGAATTATTGGAACCCACCCGCGGGTCCGCGTTCTTCTGTGTGAGTGGTGCGGCTGCACACAGACTTTTGTGCAGATCCGCAGCAGCACCACCCGCACAGATGTGAACCTAGCCTTCTGTGCTGCCTTCAAATAATCTATTACCAAAAATGTTGGTTGTTATTGTGCTTATTTGCCCTAAAATTCACTTCAGTGTGTTTTTCACTTAAGTCAACCACTATTTATATATACATATAAATATAGTTTTATATATATATATATATATATATATATATATATATAAAATAAAAATTCTATATAATAAAATTATTTATTATTATAAAGTAAATAAATGTCGGCGATATGTGGATGGGTGGGTCATTGTGCCAGCCTCCTCTTCTGCCCCTCTACCACTTTTATGAAGTGTAGGTACACGTGAAGCTTATACATTTTAAAAAAATAAATTAAAACTATGTATGTAAAAAAAAAATAAAAAAAAAAAAAAAAATATATATATATATATATATATATATATATATATATATTATATATATATATATAAAATTTATTATATAGAATATATATATATATATATATATATATATATATATATATATAATATATATATATATTTTTTTTTATATATATATATATATATAATATATAGTTTTACATATATGGTTTTTATTTATTTTTTAATCCTTTTTAAAATGTATAAGCTTCACGTGTACCTACACTTCATAAAAGTGGTAGAGGGGCAGAAGAGGAGGCTGGCACAATGACCCACCCATCCACATATCGCCATCATTTATTCACTTTTGCACTGTATAAATTGATAGAGTTGTAAAGGGCATACATTCGACTACCTCATTTTCTTTGTGACGTGTCCAAATGTATTATGTAAAAAAAAAAGAAAAAAAAAAAAAAAAAAGGAATTTTGGATTTATTTAGGGCACAGTAATTTTCCTAGGCTGCAGCTGAAAGGTTCTCCATTGTTATCCTTCTCTTCCATCATTGTGACGCGTAATTTGTCACCGCGGGAGAGAACGGGGCGTTACATCACCAGCCTCTGGTGTACGTACAGCCGTGGATGCCAGACGCTGTAGAAACATTTTAGGCTTATCGACCCATCTGTGGACATGATTCGGCTCTCACATGGATCAGCCCTGCTCTGTGCTGTGATTCAGAAAAATTCTTATTCATTTCCTCTTGCTTTTATGAAGAAATGACTTTGTCCCCTGGGTACAATAGGACATGTGTCCAGACCCATGCTGGGTTATGAGCATTGACATTCCAGCTATAAATAGGAATTTTCTAAAAGTCTTTGTGACGTCCAGGTGATTTTGTGAAAGACCCACCTTCAGGCGGAAGTTTGAATGTTTTTGGGTAGGTGCAGGAGGGGGGTATTTTAATATTAACAGTACATCACTTATCACATGCAATATCAAAGAACATTCAGTATAAATTGGATAAATACATTACCGATACATAAAGTTGTGTAAAATCTTAATTTATTTTCTTTATAAATTAGACACAGCCTGAGTACAAAAGCCTGTGTCCTGCCAGCATGCTGAGAGGAAAGGACCCTTGCTCTATCAGGAAGCAGCAAGAGGTTGGATTATGCAGCAGGACAATGATCCGAAACACACCAGCAAGTCCACTTCTGGGGAAAGAAAAAAAAAAAAAAAAACTTAATTTTTTGGAGTGGCCTAGTCAAAGACCAGACTTAAATTCCATTGAAATGCTGTGGCATGACCTCAAACAGGCCGTTCATGCTCAAAACCCTCTAATGTGGCTAAATGAAAAGCAATTCTGCAAGGAAGAGTGGGCCAAAATTCCTCCACAGCGATGTGAAAGACTCATTGCCAGTTATCACAAACACTTTGATGCAGTTGTTGCCCTTTATGCAGGCCATAGACCGGGTCAACACTTGATGGCAGTTGTTGCCACTAATGCAGGCCATAGACGGGTCAAAAACCTTCCATTTTTAAAAAAAACAAAAACAAAGAAAAATCGGTCGTTCAATAGGCCGACGTTACCACCAACAGTAAAAAAAAAAAATCGGCTGATTTTTGTCCCGTCTACGGCCGGCATTTAATTACTTCTGTCCCTTCAGAGAGCTCCGCTATTATATTTGGCATTAAAAAGTCTTGCGGTTGCAACAATGTATCAATTTCATATACAGATGTTTTTATTCGGATACAAATAGATACATTGTTGCAACCGCAAGACTTTTTCATGTCAAATATAATAGCGGACTGGAATTCTTTTTCTTTTTTCTTCTACTTCCTCTTCTTCTTCTTTCTTCTTCTTCCTTTTTTCTTCTTCTTTCTTCTTTCTTCTTCTTTTTCTTCTTTCCTCTTCTTTCTTCTTTCCTCTTCTTTCTTCTTCCTTCATCTTCTTCTTCCTTCTTTTTTCTTTTTCTTCTTTTTTCTTCTTCCTTCTTTTTTTTCTTTTCCTTTTTCTTCTTCCTTCTTTTTTCTTCTTCCTTCTTCTTCCTTCTTTTTTCTTCTTCCTTCTTCTTCTTCCTTCTTCTTCCTCCTTTCTTCTTCTTTCTTCTTCTTTCTTCTTCTTTCTTCTTTCTTCCTTCTTCTTCTTCCTTCTTTTTTCTTCTTCCTTCTTCTTTCCTTCTTCTTCTACTTCTTCGTAAAAATATCTGCCGATTTGCCCATCATTGCCGATCAGCAAAATTGTTCGTTTTTTTTTTCCAACTTTACCAATTAAAAAAAAAATGTGCCAAAATCCTGAAAAGCGGCCGACTAATTAACCCATAAAACGGAGCGAAAATCAGCTTTTTTTTTTTTTTTTGGGCCGACAAATCGGCCGATTTTCGACCCATCTATGGCCTGCATAAGGGTGGCACAATCAGTTATTAGGTTTAGAGGGCAATTACTTTTTCACATATGAATGGAATCCTAATTTTAGAAACTGCATTTTGTATTTACTGGGGTTATCTTTGCGTATTGTTACCATTTGATGATCTGAATCATCATTGTGACAAACAAAATACAAGAAGAGGACAAATCCTTTTTCACAGGACTGTACGCTGCAATTCGCTGCTTCCATACAGAGCGCAAGAGTCCCACTCTGCAGCATGCTGGCGGGGCACAGGCTTTTTTCTACTAAGGCTATGACTGTTTTGGAGGGAAAACCGTAACTGTAAGACATTGAACACTTTTTTTTGTTTTGACACACCTGAAATGTATTCGGCTGACTTCCAAGGTTCAGACGAGAGGCTTCAATTTGGAAGCAACGCGACGCTAACGGCGTTAAAAACGCCCCTCAAATGCCTATGGAATTGATACTATGGGCAGCATACAGTGCTGTTCACATTATTGAAACATGAAGTGCTAGCGTCGCTTCAAAATTGAAGCCTGATGTCGAGTCAGGTGGAGTTTGAAGCCTTTCAACGCCTCTCATTCAAGTCTATGGTGACGCGCGCGGGGCGTTTGCAGTGCATTTGTGGCGCGTTCATACCATTAGAGTTTATTATGGGTGTTTGTGGTGCAGTTTTAACGCTTGTAAAACGCTTCTAAAACGCCTCGAAACCGCGCATTGGGCATTTGTGGAACATTTTTAACTCTTGTCTGTTTTGGAGGGAAAAACATAACTGACAGACATTGAAAACTTTTTTTGTTTTGATGCACCTGAAATGTATTCAGCTGACTTCCAAGGTTCAGATTTCAATTTTGAAGCGACGCTAACGGCATTTTGGGGAGCGTTAAAAACGCCCCCTATGGAAATGATACTGCTGTTCACATTATGGAAACATGAAGCGTTAGCGTCGCTTCAGAATTGAAGCCTCATGTCGAGTTTGAAGCCTTTCAACGCCTCTCATTCAAGTCTATGGTGGCGTTTGCAGTGCGCGTTTGCAGTGCGCGTTAATACCATTAGAGTTTATTATGGGTGTTTGTGGTGCAGTTTTAACGCTTGTAAAACGCCTCAAAACCGTGCATAGGGCATTTGGGGAACGTTTTTAACTCTTGTAAAACTCTCATAGTAAAGCTCATTAACGCCTGTCATGCTAATGCTATAGAGGAGTATTTGAAGCGTAAGAAATGTAGTCCAGTGTGAACAAGCCCTTAGAGGTCTGCAGGCAGCAACCTAACTGGTCCCGTGTTCCTTTTGAAGTTGCTTGTTTAAGGATAAACAAAAGCAAACAAGGGCGCACTCTCATCGTGCATTACCGTGGTACACCACGTGGTTATTGTGTAATCAAATACATATATACTCACAAACAAAAGGAGAATAAAAGCAGAATAAGTAGTCCGCAATGGCAGTCAATGCAATATTATCCCACTAGTGTGAGGGGTCACGGAGCGTTCACTTTATATTTTGATGTGTTGAATTTCACAGAGTGCAGTGTGGATCTATTTTAATAGAATGATATACTTCATATTTTATATTATACTTTATATTTTATCGATTTTTTAATTTTTTTTTTTTTTTTCTCACGTTAGTAGAGTGCACATTGGAAAATATTAAATTTTTGTGCATGAATCACGTGTCACTAATGTAATATTGTGTGGTTTATGAAGGTAATACACTATATTTAGTTTCATTTCTTTGAGGTGTTCTGGATCCGGATTGGCGAATTGAATTGGACACTTTATAGAACGCTGGAAGATTTATTATATGTTGGACATTAATATTTTTGTGGATATCATTATTAGTGTGAGTTATTATTTGGGATTAGGTTGTTGTGTTTTTCTTGGGACACGTTTTATATGGGAAAAGTAAGAAATAGGAGTGTATTTGAGAAAAGGTTTACAGCAATACAACGCTGTGCCCTAATTAGAGATAAGTTGACGCGTTTCGGCAGATGAACCCCCTTCTTCAGAGCTAAAGTGTATACCTGCTGGTCCCAAGCTCATATACCAAAGAATGCCAAAGAGGTCAAAGGGCCCTCCCCCCCCACACACACATTGCGGTCCGATCGCAGAAAAGGCCGATTGGATCCACATACACACACACAGTTTGTTTGTTTTTGTATGGGGGTGGGGGGAGGGGGTTGGTTTGGGGCCTTTTGACCTCTTTGGCATTCTTTGGTATATGAGCTTGGGACCAGCAGGTATACACTTTAGCTCTGAAGAAGGGTGTTCATCTGCCGAAACGCGTCAACTTATCTCTAATTAGGGCACAGCGTTGTATTGCTGTAAACCTTTTCTCAAATACACTCCTATTTCTTACTTTTCCCATATAAAACGTGTCCCAAGAAAAACACAACAACCTAATCCCAAATAATAATTCACACTAATAATGATATCCACAAAAATATTAATGTCCAACGTATAATAAATCTTCAAGCGTTCTATAAAGTGTCCAATTCGATTCGCCAATCCGGATCCAGAGCACCTCAAAGAAATGAAACTAAATATAGTGTATTACCTTCATAAACCACACAATATTACATTAGTGAAACGTGATTCATGCACAAAAATTAAATATTTTTCCAATGTGCATTCTACTAACGTGAGAAAATAATAATAATCTATAAAGTATAATATAAAATATAAAGTAGTATATAAAAAATATGAAGTATAATATAAAATATGAAGTATAATATAAAATATAAAGTAGTATATAAAATATGAAGTATAATATATAAAATATGAAGTATAATATAAAATATAAAGTAGTATATAAAATATGAAGTATATTATTCTACTAAAATAGATAAATCCACACTGCACTCTGTGAAATTCAACACATCAAAAGTGAGTTTCTAGCACATCAAAATATAAAGTGAACACTCCGTGACACCTCACACTAGTGGGATAATATTGCATTGACTGCCATTGCGGACTACTTATTCTGCTTTTTATTCTCCTTTGATTTGTGAGTATATATGTATTTGATTACACAATAACCACGCGGTGTACCACGGTAATGCGCGATGAAAGTGCGCCCTTGTTTGCTTTTGCTCATCAGTATCCAGATTTCCCGATCTTTGAAGGGTTGCACCTCCCCGTTTTTGGCATTCTGAATTCCTTTCTAGTCTGCATGAAGATTTGAGCGCTGCTTTCGTTTGTTTGTCTTTGGATTGCTTGTTTAAGGAATTGATTTTTTTTCCCCCAATGTTTTTCCTCATGCTGACTGCTTATCCACGGAGGACATTGCTGGCCACATGAAGGCAAAGCACTCCAGCTCCTTGGTGATTGGGTAGTGTCCTGACCAGACACATTATGCCGTACAGACATTAAAAGTAGTACTAATGGCATTAAGGGACAGAAAATGCTCCAGTACTTTTTACTGTCCCCCCTTTCCAAACACTAATTAATATCCTCATCACTGCTCTTCGTTGCCGGTTTGACCAACGGTGCTCCTCGAATTTTCGCAGACGTGAGAGCATTGGAATGATAGGCTGTTGCTGCCATCAATCAAAATGCTAGGAGCAGGGGCATACGTTGCTGGATCTGTGCTCCGTTCAAGGAGCACGTATGTGCATGGGGGGTCTGCTTGGCACACGACGACTAGCTAAGGAGACACACTGTAAATGGGGAGGGAGATGACAGGGGCCTTGGGACTTCTGGCTACAGGAGGAAAGGGACATTTTAGAAGAAAAATACTAAACTTAATAGGTGTGTGGGCAGATGGTTTAGTATCATTTTACATAGTTAGTCTGGCTGAAAAAAGACCAAAGTCCATTCAGTTCCACCAAAAAAAATATATATATAATCCTATACCTACAGTTGATCTAGAGCAGGGGTGTCAAGCTCCAATTTATTGTGGGCTGCATCAGCATTATGGTTGCCCTCAAAGGGCCAGTTTTATCTGGAAGATTGGATGCCCAGAGCACCCCTGCATATCACATATCAAGGGCCCCCCACCCACCCTTATATCACAGAGTACCCCCCCCAACCCTCCCTTATGTCACAGAGTACCCCCAACCCTCCCTTATATCACAGAGTACACCCCCCACCCTCCCTTATATCACAGAGTACCCCCCACCCTTCCATATATCACAGAGTACCCCCCACCCTCCCTTTTATCACAGAGTACCCCCTTTACATTGTTGCCAGGAAGAAGCTGGGGGTGGTGCGCTGGGAAGCAGAAAGTGCAGGGTCTGGAGGAGGACCAACGGTGGGCTACAGTCAGCTGCCAGATTCTGCTGAATGCTGGTTGGAGGAGGACACGAGCGGGTGCTGTGGCTGCACAGAGAGGAGCAGGATCTGTAGGAGGAGTTTTGTCCTTCTCTCCGCTGCCCACTGCTGAGATACCTGGGGGCGGCGACAAGGGGCGTGCCGCAGCTGCGGCAGAATTGCGAGGGCCACGTGAAATGGCCTGGCGGCCCGGAATCTGCCCCTAGGCCTTGTGTTTGGTGGGAAAACTTGCTTACAAACCTAAGTTCTATACACACAGCACGGCATGTTCTTGTTTGTTTTCTCATTGTCTGTTGAACATACAGCACACTATGAACTTGATGATCTCCTGCCAAATTCTCTTTACGATTGGCTCGTGCCAAGCACAGCGTCCCACGCGTGCGATACAGATGCCTGAAAAACAGCCAGTGCACGCAAATGGTAGAATGTACACATTCAGGTCACAGGGATATGCGGAGGAATAAACAAGCAGCTCGGCCAATGTCCGTTTTTAATTGGCCTTTCAAGAAGATTTCCATATAAAAGTATTCCCTAAAAGTCTGTGGCATCCTTCATCCAATCGCATGGATTGGTCCAATCGCAGTTTCTGTATAATGTAATGTAATTTTTTTTTTTTTTTTTATATATTTGCTGCAGCCTGTACATAACAACGGTTCCAGTGGCTATGGGAGCCTGGGTAGTAATGGATCCTATGAACATTACATCAGTATTGCGTCTTCTAGTGATTCCAATGGAAACTGTGTGGATGAATCACACAAAGAACCGGTAAATCGCATTTGTTGTGTGCAAAATGAGTGATTCCTTCCCTGATCATTTACTAGAGGCCGTTCACTTTTCAAGGGAATTTTCCCATAGCTTAATGGCTGGGGTAAACAAAAACCCAATCCGGTGCAAGGGGGGTAAAAAAAAAAAAAAAAAAAGTGTTTTTGCTTGCACCTGATTGGATGATGGAAGTCAGCGCCACTTCACCTCATTCAAAAAGCAAAGAAAGATTTTTTTGTAAAGTGAGCAGCCTGTTTGCCTTTAGTAAATGAACCCGATCGTTCAGCTACAGAGGAGGGGAGGCAAAATGGGGAGCACTCTAGTTTCACAGGGATGGAAAATAAGGGGATACCTCCCCAAAATCCTAATCCTTTCCCCTCTCTATAGAGCAGGAGCACACAGCCTCATGCACACTGAGCATAAAAAAAATGCTGCATATACTAGCGCGGTTGGCGTTTTTTTTTTTTTTTTCTTTCAGCTTGTAGAATCAACTCTGTTACCCCCCGGTGTCCAATCACATTCGGACGTTTACAGGCATATTTGTAAAGTAGCGTATATAAAGGCTGAGAAGAAAAAAAAATCACAAGTGCGTTTTTGAGCGGAGCTTTTGGGCAGAAAGCACTTTATGCGTCTACACGTGGCATTTAGGTGCATCAAGTGCGTCCTTTTTCTCTAGTGTTTTGGGGAGGGAAATGCTTATAAACGCACATAAACACATATATACGATATGCTCCTTAAGAGCGGTTTTATGCGGCTTTTTTTCTGCCAGAAGTTCTGGAATTGTTTTTTTTTAGTGTGTGTAGACTCGTAAAGTATACGTTTAGTGACGTTTTCATCCCATTGATAAAAGCAGGCAGTCCGACGCATGTGTCCTTATTAACCTGTGTCCTGTTACAGGTGACTCTGAAACAAGTGTGTACGGACATCAACCGCATCAAGACTCTCGGGCAGCAGGTCTACATTGACACGAGGAGCAAGCCTTTGCCCAAGAAACGGGAGATACTCGACAAGGATGTTCAGAAAGGTGAAGGGAGGAATATTTCTGGTATTTGTTGACAATTGTTTTTGATATTTTCTTTTAACCCCTTCCAGTCCGGACACTTTCACCCCCCCTTCCAGTCCGGATGCTTTCACCCCCCCTTCCAGTCCGGACGCTTTCACCCCCCCTTCCAGTCCGGACGCTTTCACCCCCCCTTCCAGTCCGGACGCTTTCACCCCCCCTTCCAGTCCGGACGCTTTCACCCCCCCTTTCCAGTCCGGACGCTTTCACCCCCCCTTCCAGTCCGGACGCTTTCACCCCCCCCTTCCAGTCCGGACGCTTTCACCCCCCCCTTCCAGTCCGGACGCTTTCACCCCCCCCCCCTTCCAGTCCGGACGACGCTTTCACCCCCCCCCTTCCAGTCCGGACGCTTTCACCCCCCCCTTCCAGTCCGGACGCTTTCACCCCCCCTTCCAGTCCGGACGCTTTCACCCCCCCTTCCAGTCCGGACGCTTTCACCCCCCCTTCCAGTCCGGACGCTTTCACCCCCCCCCTTCCAGTCCGGACGCTTTCACCCCCCCTTCCAGTCCGGACGCTTTCACCCCCCCCCTTCCAGTCCGGACGCTTTCACCCCCCCCCTTCCAGTCCGGACGCTTTCACCCCCCCTTCCAGTCCGGACGCTTTCACCCCCCCTTCCAGTCCGGACGCTTTCACCCCCCCCTTCCAGTCCGGACGCTTTCACCCCCCCCCCCCTTCCTGTCCGGACGCTTTCACCCCCCCTTCCTGTCCGGACTCTTTCACCCCCCTTCCAGTCCGGACGCTTTCACCCCCCCTTCCAGTCCGGACGCTTTCACCCCCCCTTCCAGTCCGGACGCTTTCACCCCCCCCTTCCAGTCCGGACGCTTTCACCCCCCCCCCCTTCCAGTCCGGACGCTTTCACCCCCCCCTTCCAGTCCGGACGCTTTCACCCCCCCCCTTCCAGTCCGGACGCTTTCACCCCCCCTTCCAGTCCGGACGCTTTCACCCCCCCTTCCAGTCCGGACGCTTTCACCCCCCCTTCCAGTCCGGACGCTTTCACCCCCCCTTCCAGTCCGGACGCTTTCACCCCCCCTTCCAGTCCGGACGCTTTCACCCCCCCTTCCAGTCCGGACGCTTTCACCCCCCCTTCCAGTCCGGACGCTTTCACCCCCCCTTCCAGTCCGGACGCTTTCACCCCCCCTTCCAGTCCGGACGCTTTCACCCCCCCTTCCAGTCCGGACGCTTTCACCCCCTTCCTGTCCTGGGATTTTTATTTTGCTATGTAAATGAAAAAGTCCCAAATTTTTGAAAGTGTTTTTCTTATAAAATTTTGCAAATAAATAGTATTTCACCATAAATCTTGGCCAAAATTTACTACTTGTGGGGGGTGATGAAGATTTATTTTTACACTGATTGCTCTTATACCCATAAAGGCTGTAAAAGCAATCATTTCTCCTTCTCTCTGTCTGCATTCTTGTTAATGGTAATATATATATGTTAATGAGATCTGGATTCAGGCACTCCCCAGCCTGAACCATAACACATTCTCCAAAGAGATATCTAAAATATGTTTTTTAAAAACATTTTTAGATATGCCATGTGAATGAGAACACATAACAAACACATGGTGAGGTTTTTCCAAGTTTTACTGAAAAAGTGGAAATACACTTTAAGCAGAAATTATTTTTTTTTTCACCTTGCAGTGGGGCTGTGCCCCTATTGCATGGATCAAGTGCTCGGTTTTTCAAGAGGTGTAAGAGGACTAAGCTCATACACCCCTGACCTGCCAATCTTGCGGAGAACCACTCACTCTCTCCCCCCCCCCCCCCCCCCCCCGCGGTACACCAGTGGACTTCTCCTGTCTATGGATCACGCTGACGTCCGGAACAGGTCCATTCACTAGAGGCAGGAGCTGAAAGGACTGGTCTTGTGCGGAGAGGACCAGCAGGTCAGGTGAGTATATCTTAGGTATCCTCTCCCCTAGAACAAAACTAACATTTAACCTGTGCAGTCCCGGCACAGCTCCACTGCACGGGCAAAAAAATATTATCCTAGAATTCTGCTTTATGCTTGAATTTATGGTTAAGGGTGATAAATACTGTACGTAGTCTGACTTTCCTTTTTTTTTTTCTTTTTTTTTTCTCCTTTTTAACAGCAAAACCCAATCCAAATGCCTTTGTGCGACCTCAGGAAAATGTGGTGGTGGAGGGACCTGTAGCATCATCCTGTGAAGCTTCCAGGAAGGGGCAGCAAATACCTTCATACCAGCAAATCAACTGTGTGGACAGTATTATTAGGTGAGGGAATTTATCACAGTAGTAAAAACCGTATTGTGTGAAACCATTTTGTACACCTCCGAGATTAAGGGGTTTCCCATTTGTTGTACACTTGTAATTAAAGGATGAGTTCAACATTAAAAAAAAAAAAAGTGCGTTTGCTATTTTTTTTTTTTCTTGGGAGTCTGTAAAGCATTGCACCTGCAATCAGCAGATCACGGGTGCAATGTCAGGCTCCTCTGCAGACTGTCAGTGCAGCTGTCTGTCCTTACCTCTGATATGGGTAGGCAGTTACTTCAGTCCAGGAAGACGAATGTACTACGAGAGCATTCACCAGACCCTCACAGTTTGAGAACTACAAGCTGTCAGCCACAAAGGCTGACGGTACTTGTAGGCAGAACTCTGTGAATGACGCAGCCGTGTGGGCAGAGACCCGCAGTGCTGCAATCTTTTCAAACTGTGACAGCAGGTTCGAGGAGATGATCTCCGGCCAGCCACACCTTGGTCCCCCAAAAGGATGGGATTCTCTGTTAGGCAGCATACCCTGGTCCCCCAAAAGGATGGGATGCTCTGTTAGGCAGCATACCCTGGTCCCCCAAAAGGATGGGATGCTCTGTTAGGCAGCATACCCTGGTCCCTCAATAGGATGGGATGCTCTGGTATGCAGCATACCCTGGTCCCCCAAAAGGATGGGATGCTCTGTTAGGCAGCATACCCTGGTCCCCCAAAAGGATGAGATGCTCTGTTAGGCAGCATACCCTGGTCCCCCAAAAGGATGGTATTCTTTATTAGGCAGCATACCTTGTTCCCCCAAAAGGATGGGATGCTCTCTTAGGCAGCATACCCTGGTCCCCCAAGAGGATTGGCTGCTCTCTTAGGCAGCATACCCTGGTCCCCCAAAAGGATGGGATGCTCTCTTAGGCAGCATACCCTGGTCCCCCAAGAGGATTGGCTGCTCTCTTAGGCAGCATACCCTGGTCCCCCAAAAGGATGGGATGCTCTCTTAGGCAGCATACCCTGGTCCCCCAAGAGGATTGGCTGCTCTCTTAGGCAGCATACCCTGGTCCCCCAAAAGGATGGGATGCTCTCTTAGGCAGCATACCCTGGTCCCCCAAGAGGATTGGCTGCTCTCTTAGGCAGCATACCCTGGTCCCCCAAAAGGATGGGATGCTCTGTTAGGCAGCATACCCTGGTCCCCCAAAAGGATGGTATTCTCTATTAGGCAGCATACCTTGTTCCCCCAAAAGGATGGGATGCTCTCTTAGGCAGCATACCCTGGTCCCCAAAAGGATGGTATTCTCTATTAGGCAGCATACCTTGTTCCCCCAAAAGGATGGGATGCTCTCTTAGGCAGACATTAATCTTGGCTATTCTGGTGGCAACGTAGACTCCTTCTTGTCTTGCCTCACTTGTCTGTAGCTTTCATTAGAATAATATCTGGTCATCCTGCTGTGAATCCTTCAGTGAACTAAATATCATTCAGTTAGGGTTTACCACAACGTTTAGGTTTTAAAAACTACATTTTATGGCTAAACATGTATTTCAGATCCCATGGTGTCCTGTAGGGTATCACACCTCCTTATCTGGCAGCTGCTGCACTTTGTGATTTCGGATAAAATGGCTCATGCGATTTTCAGCCATATTGTCCTCTCCGCTTACAGGTACCTGGAGAGTTATAACATCCCAGCACTAAAGAGGAAGTGCGAGTCGTCTACGAACACCACCTCCTCTTCATCAGAAGATGACAAGCAGGGTCTTTCCGGACAGAATGACCTGGAGGTTTTAGAAGGTAAGGGATGAATGAAGTTTGCATTAATGTGGCTTAGCATATAAAAAAATTGAATGTGTCTAAAGAGAAATAATTTGTTGTATGAATTGTGTTGTAAAGCAGACTGAAATAACATGTGTGACACCTTTCATGACTACATTAGTGGGGGGGGTTCTCCCTTCAGATAACCTTGTTCTAGTTTGATTCATTAGGTAGTAAAACGAGACTTGGAGCTCAGTCTTAAGTCGGTTCAATTCTTGGCCAGTTCAGCAGGAACCGGCTGAGGTGCGAACCACGGATGGGCAGTCTGACTGTACCCAAGTGATCGGTCAACTTGGGTACAATCAATGGTTGCAGGAAATAAATTCGCTCTGTCTATGGCCTGCCTTAGACAACATAGAAAACAAGCTGACATTGGTAGATTCCATGTTTTCGTGCCAGTTCACTTTAAGCCAAGTAAACACTCCATGTGAGGTCCACTTGAGGTGATTGTAAACCTAATTTTTTTTAAATCCTGTTATACTCACCTGCTGTGTGCAATAGTTTTGCACAGAGAAGCCCCAATCCACCTCCTCTCGGTTGCCCTGCTGACCGCCTTTGCTCCTCCTCTTCTCAGTGTGCCACCATAGGAAGCCGTTTTGTGGCACTATACCTGCGGGCTCAATTCGGAGCCATTGACACATAGGGGTTTATTTACTAAAGCTGGAGAGTCCAAAATCAGACTCCCTTCTGCATAGAAACCAATCAGCTTCTAACCTCAGTTTGTTCAATGAAGCTTTGGCAATGAAACCTGGAAGCTGATTGGTTTCTATGCAGAAGTGAGTCTGATTTTGGACTCTCCAGCTTTAGTAAATAAACCCCACAGAGACACAGTTCGGCCCCCGACTCTCGCTCACGGACTGTGAATAACAGCAGCAGCCAATGGCTCATTGTCCAGTGAGGAGAGAGAGAACTGCTGCTTTTGGGTACAACTCTCAGGTAAGTATGGGGGGGGGGGTGCTCTAGGGGGGAGCAGCACACAGAAGGGTTTTTTAGCTTCATACAGAGACTACATGAAGGTAAAAAAAAAAAATCTTTTGCCTTTAGAACCACTTTAAATAGTAAGAACCCACTACCCCATAGGAATCCACTTCAAAAGAAATTAAAATACCTCTCCTTCCCCTTCCCTCAGCTTCTGTGCTGCAGGTGGTGATGTCTGCACCCTTCAGGCGATATCTCGGGAAGTACCGAGTACCCGAACTTTTGATAGATTATCTTCTAGCACAGTGTAGTAGCATCTGCTCGAGATTTGAGCATCCCTAAGATATCACCCCAAGGATTCTGACATCACCCTCTCCTAGGTGTCTCAGTCAGAAACAGGAGTAAGGCTAGCATTAAATAGCCTATATGTGTCTTTACTTTGCTCCAGGGTTCTGAGATGGGGCAAAGGGACCGGGACACCACATGCAGACCCTGCAATGTTAGTGCAAGATCTACGTTAAGCTCCTCTAGGTCCCGTCAACTTCATTACTCTTCCCAGTGGGTGCCGCACATTGGAAGAGTGGCTCATAGCGTAGGTCTCTAGATTCACCCTGGTGAAGGAAGCCTATGTGATGCCAGCCTTGGTGGGCCTTGAGGACCGAAATGTAAGCCATAGTTGAGAGGTCCAGACTTACTTTTGTCAGTTTTGTCTGCTATGTTCTCGGGTAAAATGCAAATTGCGTTCCAGAATGTTCGCAAGGGGAATTACTTCTAAAGCGGAGTGCCAGTTAGGAAAAGTTAGGAAGATCCACCCTGTAGGCTGTTTATTCCCAAATTGCAGCATTTCATGCATGTTCACTGCATGTTCACACATCTGATTGTTTTGTTTTTCGTTAGTTACAGTTAGTTTCATGATGGTGGTAGGGGGAAAGGGTGGTGGTGGTGGTGGGGTGGGGAGGGGGGTGACTAGATTATTAGCGATGACTAGACAGGATTACGAACACGTCTACAGATCGTCAAATATATGACGAGGCCCTTCTTCAATCTTGAACTTTTTGGGATATAGCTTAGTTATGTGGAGCTTCCGAGACCCAGACAGGCAGCTTTTGATCTACATTTCAGCCTCCCCTAGCGTTCTCCTTTTAGAATGTATGTGTTGTCTGCACGTTATGGCTTTAGTCACTCTGTCTTTTTGGAATTATTGGAACACTCGCAATCTCTACTCCTTTGGATTTCGGGAGAGCTCAGAGGAGCGAGCCGCACGGTGCCAAGACAACGGATACACACAGATTGTGCACATGCTCTTTGCTTTTCTATATATTTGTATCTGAAAACATATCGCTGCTTACAGAAGAAAGAACAAGCCTATACTTTTAAAGGGTTAGTTCACCCACAGGTGCTATTTCAGTTCTGATTGGATGCCTCAAAGGTAAAGGTGAATTCTCCAGTATCAGTTTCTATTTATCATGCATTCATAAAGTATTCGGACCCCCTTAACTTTTTTCAGTGTTATGTTTTGCGGCCTGATACTACAGCTTAGATTAATTTTTTTTTTCTCCTCATTGATCTACACTCATCTACATTTACAAAGAAAAAACTGAAATATCGCATTGGCATAAGTATTCAGACCTTCCCCAGACCCTGCATTCACTATATCCTCTCTCCCCGGACCCTGCATTCACTATATCCGGTCTCCCCCAGACCCTGCATTCACTATATCCTCTCTCCCCGGACCCTGCATTCACTATATCCGGTCTCCCCAGACCCTGCATTCACTATCTCCTCTCTCCCCGGACCCTGCATTCACTATCTCCTCTCTCCCCGGACCCTGCATTCACTATCTCCTCTCTCCCCGGACCCTGCATTCACTATATCCTCTCTCCACGGACCCCGCATTCACTATATTCGCTCTCCCCGGACCCTGCATTCACTATATCCGCTCTCCCCGGACCCTGCATTCACTATATCCGCTCTCCCCGGACCCTGCATTCACTATATCCGCTCTCCGCGGACCCTGCATTCACTATATCCGCTCTCCGCGGACCCTGCATTCACTGTATCCGCTCTCCCCGGACCCCGCATTCACTATATCCGCTCTCCCCGGACCCTGCATTCACTATATCCGCTCTCCCCGGACCCTGCATTCACTATATCCTCTCTCCCCGGACCACGCATTCACTATATCTGGTCTCCCCGGACCCCGCATTCACTATATCTGATCTCCCCGGACCCCGCATTCACTATATCCGCTCTCCCCAGACCCCGCATTCACTATATCCTCTCTCCCCGGACCCTGCATTCACTATATCCTCTCTCCCCGGACCCTGCATTCACTATATCTGGTCTCCCCGGACCCCGCATTCACTATATCCACTCTCCCAGGACCCCGCATTCACTATATCCACTCTCCCTGGACCCTGCATTCACTATATCCGCTCTCCCCGGACCCTGCATTCACTATATCCGCTATCCCCGGACCCTGCATTCACTATATCCGCTCTCCCCGGACCCTGCATTCACTATATCTGGTCTCCCGGGACCCCGCATTCACTATATCTGGTCTCCTGCAGTACACACAACAATGAAAATGCAATTATTTAAGTAAATATAAACTGCTAAATACCTTTTCTCATCAGCAGTATATAGCAGTTTTGTGACTTCTATCAATGTCCAGCAGAGCACTGGTTAAAGCTTGTAGGAAGAGTTTTCATTCTGCTCTGACTATCCTATGAGGCTGAATGACCCCCGACCCTCTGAACAGTGCTGATTGGCACTGTGCTGATCACATGCACCTTCCCAAAGAAAATAAACTCTGCATATGCTCAGTTTAGTGTGTATTGCTAGAGTGACTCCTAGAGCTCTGCACTATCAGCAGATGGATTTGGGACGGTAGAAGGGGAGGGTCACAGTAGACCGGATCAAAAAGCCTTTTTACTTAATGCAGATAATTAACCCCTTAGGTTTCAGTGTAACAAGCATGCTTTACTGCATATACAGACTGATTTAACTGCTGTGGGTTTAGGAACACGTTCAACAATTGTAGTATCGGGCTACAAAAGAACACAATTGAAAAGTGAAAGTGGTCTGAATACTTTATGAATGCACTGTATGTCAGGGACCTAAAATGCCACCATGGAACATCACAAACTCTGGAGTCCCACAGTCTCCAGGTTTGAGACTCTTGTTGTGTTTTTGTAAGTAAACCTGCATCCACCCAGAACTGAAATTTTTCTCTTTTTGGGTAGACTGACTCCACAGAGCAACAGTATAATTTTTTCTGTAATGGTTAATTCATTGCACTGCAGTGGAATCCTCTAAACAAGTAGTCACTTCATCAAAGATGTCCTTGCAGATGCACAGAGGCAGGGTTTTTTATTGAAATTGCTCCAAGAATGGATTATTTTATTTTGCCAAGTTTGCTGTGACAATCCATTACTTTTAGTTTGCAAAGCTTTTTTGGTAGGCAATTCTCTATGGAGTTGATTGATTAACTTGAGAGACCTTGATGACTTCCACTTCAACACTGTCCTCGAATTTATTGTATCGTTGCAAGATGTTCCTGAGCTAGCAGCGCCTACAAGCCAGTTATCAGCGGAGTCCATGGTTACAACCGACGCTCAGACAACAGCAGCCGTGGTGGGAGCTCCACTGACCGATCTCACACTGTCCATCAAGGCCATGAGTGTTGTGTCCGTCACCAGCCAGTGTAGCTACAGCAGTACCATTGTGCATGTTCCACAGCCTGAGTCAGGTACTTCTCATCTTTCCATATCCTGGAGGATTCATCGTCTTATCTATTTCCTGAAGATGTTAACATATGCCAGCCAGCTTGTCCTGCCAACTGAGCTTTTTCTGTCATTTATTGTTCCCTCCCTTTCCTAATTATTTTTTCCTTTCTGTCTTATCTCTTAATTTTTTTTTTCCTTTCCTTCCCTCTTCCCTCCTTTTGTTTTCTGTGCTTCTTTTCTCTTTCACTTTCTGTCCCTCCTTTGTCTTGTCTTTTCTTCTCTTCTTCCTCCTCCTTTGCTCCTTTACCTTTTCTACTTTTTCCATCCTTCGCCTTCGCTCCATCTTCCCTTCGCTCCATCTTCCCTTCGCTCCATCTTCCCTTCGCTCCATCTTCCCTTCGCTCCATCTTCCCTTCGCTCCATCTTCCCTTCGCTCCATCTTCCCTTCTCTCCATCTTGCCTTCTCTCCATCTTGCCTTCTCTCCATCTTGCCTTCTCTCCATCTTGCCTTCTCTCCATCTTGCCTTCTCTCCATCTTCCTTCCTTAGTCTTCTCTTTCTTCCCTGCTTTATCTTCTCTCCTTCCTTCTTTCCTCCTCCTCCTTCCTGCCTTCTCTCCATCTTTCGTCTTCTCTTTCTTTCCTCCTACACCTTCTCTCCTTCTTTATTTCTGCTTTACCTCATCTCCTCCTTTCCTCTCCTTGCCATATCTCCTTATTCTTTCCTCCTTCGCCATGTCTCCTTCTTCTTCTTCTGTCCTCCTTCGCCTTGTCTCCTTCTTCTTCTGTCCTCCTTTGCCATGTCTCCTTCTTTCCTCCTTTGCCATGTCTCATTCTTCTTCTGTTCTCCTTCACCCTCCTCCTTCGCATTGTCTCCTTCCTCTTTTCTCCTCCTCCACCTTGTCTTTTTCTCCTTCTTCTTCTTCGCCTCATCTCCTCCTTCTTCGCCTTGTCTTCTTCTTCTCCTTCTTCGCCTCCTCTTCTTCTTCTTCTCCTTCTTCGCCTCTTCTTCTTCTTCTTCTCCTTCTTCGCCTCTTCTTCTTCTTCTCCTTCTTCTCCTCCTCCTCCTTCTCCTCCTCCTTCCTCCTCCTCCTCCTTCTCCTTCTCTCTCCTCCTCACCTTCTTCTCCTCCTCCTCCTCCTCACCTTCTTCTCCTCCTCCTCACCTTCTTCTCCTCCTCCTCACCTTCTTCTCCTCCTCCTCACCTTCTTCTCCTCATCTCCTTCTTCTTTTTCGCCTCTTCTTCTCCTTCTCCTCCTTCTCCTCCTCCTCCTCCTCCTTCTCCTCCCTCTCCTTCTTCTCCTCTTCTTCTTTTTTTCTCCTCCTCCTTCGCCTCGTCTTCCTCTTCTTCTCTCTTCCTTCGTCTCCTCTCCTTCTTCTTTCCTCCTTCACCTTGTCTCCCTCCCTCTCCCTGCTTCCTCCCTTTCCTTCCCTCCCTTCCCTTCCCTCCCTTCCCTCCCCCCCCCTCCCTTCCCTTCCCTCCCTCCCCTCCCTTCCCTTCCCTCCCTTCCCTTCCCTTCCCTCCCTTCCCTTCCCTCCCTCTCCCCCCTCCATTAAACTAGTGCTTCGTATACATTTGTCGATCAGTCTCTAGCTAGAACCTATTGTTACTTTCTCCTATTCTATTTTTGTACTGCCACAAATCTCCATTATTCTAGTTACAACAAATGGGCACGCTGATTCCGAGTCCGCTGTGCAGGATTCTGCACGCCAATGCTTGCTGGCTTTTTTGAACAGATACCAGCACATCTCCAGCAACTGCAGTATATAGTGGAAATAGATTAGGGAGAGGATGAAGGTCTTTTTCATCTCATGCTGGTGGCTCTGATGTGTCAGCTCTGTACATGGAGCTTATGACGTACAAATTTCATCAGTACAACCGAAATCAGACGTTTGGCCAAGTTGGAAGTATATTTTTTCAATTCTTCATTTTGAGTTATATGCCACGACAGAAGGCAACAGCTACAAAGCTCCAGCTAGCTTTATTTTAAAACTTTTTTTTTTTTTTTGGTCTTTTTTTTTTTTGCCTTTTTTTTTTCGTCTGATAAAATTTACGCAAATTTGCTACGACTACCTGAATAAATTCTTTTTGAGGTCTTTGCATACGCCACAAGACACTGTGACATTTTGGTATCTAAAACTTTTAAAAACTTTGGTTAGGTCTTTGACTACAGTGTTAAATGTGTCATTTTTTCAATTTTTTACTGTAATTTTACAAAATTAGCTTTTGCAAAATGAAATTAATTACAAAACAGCTGTCATATTGTGTGTTGCATTAGTTTGATTTTTCATATCATCTAATTTGGATGAAAACTTGGCCATCTAAATTTTTTTAATTTTTTTTTTCTAACATTTTTTACCTAGAATTGTTTTTTTTTTTATTTTTTTTTTTACTACCACCATCATTTCATTAGCTTGTGTATGAAAAGCTTTCTCGAGGAGGGTGTTCCTTTTTGCTTATTGTATTTATTCTTATTATTATTTATTATAAGTTTGCATTTGATTGGTTGGTAAAGGCAACAAGGGGACTGTCTTGAGTTACTTTTAATACACAAGACCCCAATTTTTTTTTTATAGTATAACTTTAGCCAAAATGTTTTTTTTCTCTTTAGGTTTTTGGCTAGAGTAGGAAATAGAACCTCTGTCAAGGTTGTTTTTTTTTTCTGTCTGTGGTCCTGTTCAGGAAATTTTCCTTCACATCCTGTCCTGGTGACACCACAGTCACTGAGGCAGGAAGTAAAGGGAAACCCCAATGGGGTCAGTAAAATGCTAACACAGGTTCTAGCCTTCCCCACTCAATTAATAAGTTGTTTATTACTATTGTATCCCTGTTGGAGGTTTCTCCCTCATTTCTTGTCCTGGTGATGTCCCCAGGGCAGGAAGTCGGGGAAAATCTCCTGTACAGAACCACAGACATGAAACAAAAGCCAGCAGGGGTTCTAAATATTTCCTACACTGTCCATTTTAAAAAAAAAAAGGGAAAAAAAGAATAAATTTTGGCTAGAGAGACACTCATTGTCGCCTCGCTGGGGTCTTGTTTTTTTTTTTTCCTTTGGGATGAATAGAATTTGTACAGTTTAAAATTAGAGAAGGGCTTGATTGTCTTTTTTTCCCCACTTTACTGTATTACTGCCTTTGTTTACTGTTCTTGCACAGTTTATTTACTGCCGTGATGTGTTGTGTATTCAGAGGTGACGGCCCTAGAAGATGCCACTGGTGGCATTGACCAGATTGAGATGAGGTCTTCACAAGCAGCCGGTTCCACGATGGCACCGGAGGAGTTTAAGCAGGTTGGGTTGACGAAGGAAGTTCTTTCTGCTCACACGCAGAAAGAGGAACAGAATTACGTGGACCAGTTCCGGCAGAGGCTCCTGCAGTCTCCGTACAGCAGCTATCTGCAAGAGGACAGCCACAGCAAGGCATGCTCCCATGAACAAGGTATCCAAGGTATTTGTCGCCATCAGAGTCTGGACTTCTACCACATGTTCACTTCACGTTTTTCCATGAATGAACAACTTACCATCGTATTTCTAAAATCTTAACATTCAACACTCTAAATTAAAATAGAGTTTAAGATGGCTTTAGCTCATTATGTGCTCTTTTTCCTAAGAGGTTTTTTTTTTGTTGATTGGATGTTCTTTATTTATGCAGGTGAACACTCTTCTCAGCAGACCTCTCCAGCTGCTTGGAAGAAAGGTAAAAAACAGGGTAAGCACAAACGGCAGAAACCCATGGAATCTTCGGACAGTAATGGTTCTCATCCCAATCTGCCACCACGGCCAAGGAGGCCAGGTCCTTTGCCACAGTCTTGGCCGCCATCTGAAGTTTCTCATCCAAGCCCTTCGAATATGGCTTTCCCCCCTCCTGTGATGATCCCAATCCAACCGGCCTACTCTATGCCGGGTTTTCAGATGCCGCACATGACTACCACGGTGGCAGGGGACTGTACCACCTCAACCGTGGCTCCCGAGTCCATACCGCAGTCCAACATTTCCTACAACATGCAGACCTTCCCAGGATTCCCCTCACCTTACATGGGTACCCTCATGGCTGTTTTCCTCCCCAACTACAATATGTACCCACCCATGAACCCACAGATACCTCAGCCTTTCTTCCCTTCTCAGTACCCCTGCCCACCAGCTTATCCGTACACTGGAATGCCCAGCACCCCTCAGAATGTTCCATCCCAGATCCCTACAGACTTTGTGGACCCAACTTCTCGAGCTTCATCCCCCATGTCTGCTGAAGGACAGCAGGAAGCACAAACCGAAGATCCACACCTCTTCAGTAACTCTAGAAGCAGCTCTCCCCTGCAATTGGTCCTCCTTCAGGAGGAATTACCCAAGCCGGCAGAGCCTCAAGAGGGAGCCAACACTGAGAACCAGTCGGATATTAAATGTGTGAGTTTTATGTTTTGTCCATAAAGCCTTGTTTACACTTGCTTCGATTTTAACACACATTTTAACAAGTGTTACTAAACCCACCACAGTACAATCAGTCTGTAGATGCAGTAAAACATGCTTGTTATACTCACTGTGGAACCTAAGAGGTTAATCTTCTACATTGTGTAAAAAGGCTGTTTGATCCTGTCTTCTCTTGATCCTACTCTTCTACTGTCCCCAAACCATCTGCTGATAGAGCAGAGCCTTGGGAGTAAGCTGCACATGCTCAGTTATATATTATACATGCTCAGTGTATATTGCTAGAGAGTTGTTTTTTGTTTTGCATTTTTCTTGAGAGAGTGCATCTGATTAGCACAGGGCCAATCAGCACTGTCCAGACAGAGGGTCAGGGGTTATGCAGCCTCATAGGACAATCAGGAGAATGAACGCTTCTCCTACAAGCTTTAACCAGTGCTCTGCTGGACACTGATAGAAGTCGCAAGACTGCTCTAACTGCTGATAATAATGGGTAAAATAACAGTTTATATTTACTAAAATACTTGAATTCCCATGTTCTGTGTACTGTGGGAGACCAGATATACTAAATGCAAGGTCCTGGGTTTAGTAACACTTCAAAGCTCCTACCTCTTTGTCATGCTTTTTTTTTTATGTGTTTTTGATGCTTTTGTGATACTCCTTTAAAGTTTTAATAAATCTTGGCAAATGCCCTGTTTGTGTTGATTTTCTATTTGTTTTAAAGTGGTCCGGTAGAACCTCAGCTCATTAGTACCGTCGTTCAGCAGATCCCCAGCTCGGTAGTAACCTCTAGCTCTGCTGATCTTCCACTTCTTAGTAACCCCCAGCTCTGCTGATTTCCTGCTCTGTAGAAACCACCTAGCTTTGCTGATCCACCACTTAGTAGTAGCCATCTGTTCTGCTTATTCCCTGCTCAGTAGTAACCCTCAGCTCTGTTCATTCCACGCTCAGTAGTAACCCTCAGCTCTGTTCATTCCTCACTCAGTGGTAACCCCTAGCTCTGCTCATCCCCCACTCAGTAGTAACCATCGGCTCTGCTCATCCCCCCCGCTCAGTAGTAACCATCAGCTCTGCTCATCCCCCGCTAAGTAGTAACCATCAGCTCTGCTCATCCCCCGCTCAGTAGTAACCATCGGCTCTGCTCATCCCCCACTCAGTAGTAACCATCAGCTCTGCTCATCCCCCGCTCAGTAGTAACCATCGGCTCTGCTCATCCCCCCCCCGCTCAGTAGTAACCATCAGCTCTGCTCATCCCCCCGCTCAGTAGTAACCATCAGCTCTGCTCATTCCCCACTCAGTAGTAACCATCGGCTCTACTGGTCCCCTGCTCAGTAGTAACCATCAGCTCTGCTCATTCCCCACTCAGTAGTAACCATCAGCTCTGCTCATCCCCTGCTCAGTAGTAACCATCAGCTCTGCTGGTCCTCTGCTCAGTAGTAACCATCAGCTCTGTTCATCCCCTGCTCAGTAGTAACCATCCGCTCTGTTCATTCCCTGCTCAGTAGTAACCATCCGCTCTGTTCATCCCCTGCTCAGTAGTAACCATCCGCTCTGTTCATTCCCTGCTCAGTAGTAACCATCCGCTCTGTTCATCCCCTGCTCAGTAGTAACTATCAGCTCTGTTCATCCCCTGCTCAGTAGTAACTATCAGCTCTGCTCATCCCCTGCCTAGTAGTAACCATCAGCTCTGCTCATCCCCTGCTCAGTAGTAACCATCAGCTCTGCTCATTCCCCACTCAGTAGTAACCATCCACTCTGTTCATTCTCCCACTCAGTAGTAACCCCTAGCTCTGCTGATCCTCTGGCTTTCTGACCCTCCTCTCTGCAAGCCACATGTGACATCTGTTTTCTCCTGCTCTGGTCCCCCAGCTCTCCTGAGCCTCCGCTGATCAATCCTCACTCTTCAGTCCCATTCACCTTCCACTATAACATTCCCATGTTGCACGATACGCTTGCCATCTGCTAGTTGCTCCACTCCAGTCTGCACCCCGCTCACCTTCTGCTTGTTGGTTTCCCAGTGCAACCTGGGATATCTCATACCTGCAATACCTCCAAAACAAAGCTAAGCTAACCTTGAACACATGCCCTTCAAAAGCTGCAGGTGCTGTTAGCCAGTGTTGTCATAGACTTCTGCGGAGGCCTTGGAGATGCTTTGAAGCACCAAGAAGGCGACATGGTGTATAATTTTTGAAGCAAAGCAAACATAACAGTGTGAACAGGACTGTAAGCATACCATTTTATTTAGTGACCGTGGCTTTGATTGGCATTTAGAGCGCTTTAAAAAAAAGCGTGTCCAATGCAACATTTTGAAGCAAGTGTAAACGAGGCCTGATAATGATTTATGGTTGGCTTTGTAATTCACGACCAAAGGAGGAGATATCAAAAGGACTAATGTAGCAGTAACCTTGGACCGTTCTTGTATTTTGTATGGTAATTGGTCACTTTTAGTTTTCATTGACAGCCCATGTGACATGACAATGTAGAAGCACCATTGGGAGACGGGGATAGAGCTTTGTCTCCTGTAACCGGAAGTGCCTTAAGAAACACCGTCATAGGCTGGATCACCAGGAATGTTTTAATGAAAGCTGTATATGTATTGATTTGGTTTTTATTGACTTTGTGAGATCTACCAAAACCAAAAACCAACTTAGTTGTCCAACCTTTAGAACATTGAATGTTCTCAATGCTGTGTTCCTTCTCCCACAAGAAGCTAATACAGCAATTAAACGTGCTACACATCTGCTTTGTGTCTTCCTCAACAGACGGACGCAGCGGTGGACAGCGGGAACAATGACAGCCACTCTGCTTCTAGTGAACTTTTTGATCTCTTGCTTCAAGAGGATTCCCAGTCTGGTACTGGGTCAGCAGCTTCAGGAAGCGTATCCGCCAATTCCAGCTCCTTGGGGATTGGTTCCAACGGTTCTACCTCAAACGGGACATCAGGAAGCGGCATAGGTAATGAATCCATTGGGCACTTCCTACCTTGGTGACCTAAATAGTAGTTTTGCCATAGTAAGTGTCCATTATCCTAGTCTAAGCATGCTCAAACAATGGACTTCCAAATACACCGGACCTCACGTATAATAACTGGAGGAAGGAAAAGGAAAGGGTTTGTGTTGCCCATAGCAACCAATCAGATGCCTCTCATTTTAATTCTATTTTTTTTTATAGTTTATATTATTATTATACAGAATTTATATATTATTATTATACAGGATTTATATATTATTATTATTATTATTATTATTATTATTATTATACAGGATTTATGGCGCCAACAGTTTGCTCAGCGCTTTACAATATAACGGGAGACAATACAGCAACAATACAGTTCAATACAAGAGGGTTAGGAGCAGGGGCAGACTGACAACTCATGGGGCCCCCAGGCAATTGGGGATCATGGGGCCCCTGTGTCCTTGCCTACACTCAAAATGCCCAAAAAAAGCCTATAAAAGGTACCAGGGGCATGTTATGGGGCCTCCTACTGACCCCGGGCCCTCGGGCAGTGCCCGAGTTCTCGAATGGTCAGTCCGCCCCTGTTTAGGAGGGCCCTCCTTGGAGCTTACAATCTATATGAGTGTGATTTATCTATGATAAATTAGCTCATCTATCTTTGGTAATGTTTGAATTACCTCGTTACTGTTTTTAATCTTATATGTGTATGGGGGCAGCCATATTTATTCATTGCAAATTCCAGCTGTGCTTCCTTTTAAAGAGACAAATGGAGAAACGAAAAAGGGCGCACCGACCTAATGCATTATCGTTTAAAATAATTTATTAAAGAAACAAAAATAGGTATCATACTCACAATGGACATAATAACACAGGCATGTCAAACTGAACAAGGTGTATGATCCAAACAACATCTGAGTCCATACGATGGAACCCTGGATGACCAACTGGCTAACGCGTTTCGAGGACATAGCCTCTTCCTCAGAGGTTGTGTTCTCGAAACGCGTTAGTGGTCATCCAGGGTTCCATCGTATGGACTCAGATGTTGTTTGGATCATACACCTTGTTCAGTGCGCCCTTTTTCTGTTTCTCCATTTGTATCCAGTGTATTCGGACCACCCCGGTCTGTTGAGGGCAGCAAGCAGTGCATATTCCAGAAAATTCCAGAACATTCCTATTGGGTCTACTGAGTCCTTTCCTAGCGCAGGAGTAAAGTGTTTGTTGTGTTGGATTTTCCTTTTAAAGATAACCTGTCTCGTTCAGATTCTGATCATTTAAATTTTGTAGTTCGATTTGTGCAGGCTTATCTCTGAAAGCCATCATTCTGCTCCCTGTCACGTTAACTCTACAGCTTGAGAATCGGCAGGCACCCAAGGTCTGAAACTTGGTGCCCTTTCCAATGCCTGGCTTTTCATGCCGTCTTTTAGCTTCCTGGTTTGCATAACCGTACAAGTAACAGAATCCAGAAATTGTTCTTCCATTGAGCTTCAGAGCTCTGATGTTTCACTCTGTTATGCTCTTTCAAGTGCTGGGAGATGGCGTGAGGTCAGGCTGTTTTGACAAGGAAGCAACTGGCTCTCCTCGGGTGACCCCCTGACTCGAAAAGTAAACATAGAAGAAAGGTGTGGGGTGCTGGATCTTGTAAATCTTTAGGTGTTCCCTGTCTGGTCTTCAGCAGTGTAGAGGGAATTGATTATCCATAGCGGTTGCTGAAGGTCAGCTCTTTGTTCGAGTAACAATTGGGCAAACAAGGGGAAAGGTGCCAAAAGCAGAACACAAGCACATATTTAAAACCTAACTCCAGGTCCAGCACTTCCTTCCCCTTGATGTGAGCACCTTGTTCCTGGGGGCCCACTACAGCGTTCTGCCCCTGGGGGAGGGAGGATGTGATCTGAAGGGAAAGGCCAGCGCCCTTCCCACCCTTCTCAGCCCTCCAATTCTCTTGGCCTTTCCTCATGGATATGCAAACCCTCCTTCCCTCAACCCATCCCCTCCCGGTTTTTTCCTTCAATATCCCCTAACCCCACGATTTTATATTCCCTTGGTCAGAGGGTACTTTTGTCTCCATGTCTCATTGTCCCGAGGTCAGCTGACAGGATTGGGTTCCCAATGATGAATACCGAACATTCTGACCAAGACGATTTGGACCTCATACAGGGGGTTAGACAAAAGAAACTGAAACACTATATGATTTGCAGATTTGAAAGTGACAACATGTTTCACGTTGAAAGCGAAAGTGATGTAACATTCTTTTGCTTTCGCTGTGTGATGAGACCCCTAGCTAACCGGTGGGAAGCCTCACGTTCATATCAGAGCTTCCTGAGCTTCAAAGAGGGCAAATTGTTGGTGATGATTAGCTGGCACCTCTGTGACTGAAGTTGCCAATTTTTTTTGTCGCGTCGCGAGGTACAGTATCAAAAGTTTCTGGGCAAACATCATTTGGGGATCATGGGGCCCCTGTACCCTATTTTTTTTTTTTATATTATACAGGATTTATGGCGCCAACAGTTTGCTCAGCGCTTTACAATTTAACAGGAGACAATACAGCAACAATACAGTTCAATACAAGAGGGTTAGCAACAGGGGCAGACTGACAACTCATGGGGCCCCCAGGCAATTGGGGATCATGGGGCCCCTGTGTCCTTGCCTACACTCAAAACACACCCAAAAAAGCCTATAAAAGGTACCAGTCCCATCTCATGGGGCCCCTTACTGACCCCGGGCCCTCGGGCAATGCCCGAGTTTCCATATGGTCAGTCCACCCCTGCTGATAAGCGCGGTCGACTTGGTCAACTGACCGAAAGAGACATTGCGCAGGATTGTGACCCGGAATAAGAAAACAACTGCTGCAAAAGTGACTGCAGAGCTCGATCTCAGTCCCTTGAAGTCCAGGTTTACTTTCACTTTAAGCCCTGGTTCACATATATGCGGCCGGGTGGGCCGCGTTTTGCGTGGGCACGAGAGCCCATTCATTTGAATGGACTCCCGTGACACGTAGGGAAGAAGTCCCTGCACTTCCTCTGAAAACGCAGCCGAGGTTCCCAGTACGGTTGCGTTTTTCCAGTGTGGACGGCGTGCCATTAGAACTAATGGTACCTGCCTGTGTGTCTGCATTCCTCTGTGCGGGTGGTGCGGCTGCACGGATTTTCGTGCGGATCCACAGCGACTCCACCCGCACATATGTGAACCTAGCCTAATGGTTTGTTTTGGCCAAGCTGGCCCAAATGAGCCATTTCCTTCTATAGAGCTGACAGCAGGTGCATCCCATAGTAAACTTCATCTAGCATTAGAATGCAAAGTGGAAAAAAACAATGCCTTTGTAGAAGGAGTACAGTAATTGGTATGATGGCTCTATCTATGTAATTATGTATGGTGTATATTCTCTATTTTGTTTGGCGTTTCCCTGGGTGATCTGTTTCCCCCCCCCTCAGAATACGGTAAATTAAATGCAATCTCAGTAATTCAGCCTTCGCATGTGAGCACTTGTTTGATTTATTTTTATTTTTTGTTCTATTCAGTGCTGATTGTCACAGAAATGACACTGAGAGTGCCCTGGATTGAAACAAGTATACACTAACGAGGGATATGCTTTAATATTTCTTGACTGAGTTTAACAACCACTTTAAGCAATCATCTCCTGAATTTAGCTCTTTTGTGGGGGGGGGGGGGGGGGGAGTTATATCTGACGGATTTATGGTCTGTACAGGGCAGTGTGTACAGGAAGGGGGGACGGGTTAAAGTGCACAGTGTGTGCAGGAAGGGGGGGGGTGTTGAATTAAAGTGCACAGTGTGTGCAGGAGGGGGGGGGGTGTAGAATTAAAGGGCACAGTGTGTGCAGGAAGGGGGGTGTAGGGTTAAAGTGCACAGTGTGTGCAGGAGGGGGGGGGGTGTAGAATTAAAGGGCACAGTGTGTGCAGGAAGGGGGGTGTAGGGTTAAAGCGCTCAGTGTTTGCAGGAATGGGGGGTGTAGGGTTGAAGGGCTCAGTGTGTGCAGGAAGGAGTGGGGGGGCAGTGTGTGCAGAAAGGGGTGTAGGGTTAAAGTGTACGGTGTGTGCAGGAAGGAGTGGGGGGCAGGGTTAAAGGGCACAGTGTGTGCAGGAAGGAGGGGGGGGACAGTGTGTGCAGGAAGGGGGGGGGTGTAGGGTTAAAGGGCACAGTGTGTTGAGGAAGGAGTGGGGGGCAGTGTGGGGTTAAAGGGCACAGTGTGTGCAGGAAGGAGTGGGGGGGCAGGGTTAAAGGGCACAGTGTGTGCAGGAAGGAGGGGGGGGACAGTGTGTGCAGGAAGTGGGGGGGGTGTAGGGTTAAAGCACACAGTGTGTGCAGGAAGGAGTGGGGGGGGCAGTGTGTGCAGGAAGGGGGGTGTAGGGTTAAAGGTCACAGTGTGGTCAAGAGGGGGGGTGTAGCATTAAAGGAGGGCAGTGTGTGCAGGAAGGGGGTGTAGCAATAGAGGGGGCAGTGTGTGCAGGAAGGGGGTGTAGCAATAGAGGGGGCAGTGTGTGCAGGAAGGGGGTGTAGCAATAGAGGGGGCAGTGTGTGCAGGAAGGGGGTGTAGCAATAGCAATAGGGGGGCAGTGTGTGCAGGAAGGGGGTGTGGCAATAGAGGGGGCAGTGTGTGCAGGAAGGGGGTGTGGCAATAGAGGGGGCAGTGTGTGCAAGAAGGGGGTGTAGCAATAGAATGGGCAGTGTTTGCAGGAAGGGGGTGTAGCAATAGAGGGGGCAGTGTTTGCAGGAAGGGGGTGTAGCAATAGAGGGGGCAGTGTGTGCAGGAGAAAGAGGGCGGGCAGTGTGTGCAGGAAGGGGAGCAGTGTGTACAGTTCTATTGGGGGGGGGGGGGGTGCAAGTAGCTGGCCTTGCCTGGGGCGCAAAGTAGTCTAGCACCGGCCCTGATGTCCACACCCCGCATGTCCATGTGTATCCATGGATGGCTGAAGTTGCTGTGCGGAGAGTGCACTCACTGCACGCTCCCAGCACGACGGTCAGACAGCTCCTGGCTTCTAGTAATG